ATTGTCAAAATTGGTCAACTTGAGTAAACCCCTCGTGGCCAAACGGCCAATGCATTCAATGCAAAGGCAATGTCGGCAAACATGTGTTCCAAAATGCATACTATGATATGTTAAAAGTTAAAAGCATGCGGTCCGCTCTGCTTGACAGGCGGCATGCAAAATTTGCAATGCTGGATCCTTTGTGTCGGACACTCCGAACAAAATCTGGAGGTGCGTGTACACTACAACACACAACGTCAACAGTTTGACCTCGATGCAGATGCATGCGGTTAGATGAATGAGCGGGGTGTCCGAAACAATGACTGCTATCTACTCACAGCACTGACTGCCTACATAGGAAAAACCGAGCATAAGGTTATCACAAAAGTCAAGGACTGTAGGGCTTGGAAGAGTGGTGAAGAAAGATCCGCAACTTCCCATCCTCGGTCCGCTTGTAATTGAAGCTGTACTCAACCTTGGACACGTTGCCATCGTCGGCGCTGGTGAAGTAGTAATTACCCATGGCAGCTGCAACGTTGCCGCTGATCTCGATCTGGTGGTTCTCAAAGACAGCAGCGGACCAACCCTTTCCACCATTGATGGCAAAGCCGCCATCCTCCGCATAACCATTCGCAACGTTTGAGTTACCCACAAAGTACGACAAGGCACCAGTCGCATTTGGTCGGAACTGGTTCACGGACGCCAACGTTGGTTTGAAGAGCACGTTGGAGTGGCCATAGCCGTAGAGTTCGGCTGCTGCTGCTCCTGCTACTGCCACGAAGTCGCCACCAGCAAGGTAGGTGTTTGAGATGTTCACGACAGCATTGGCCCATGCATCCTGCACAGCAAGCACCTCTGCCCGAGAGATGGGCATTTCATAGGGCTTGGAAGAATGGTGGAGGAAGATCCGCAACTTACCATCCTCGCTCCTCTTGTAGCCAAAGCTGTACTCAACCTTGGACACTTTGCCATCGTCGGCGCTGGTGAAGTAGTAATTACCCATGGCAGCTGCAACGTTGCCACTGATCTCGATCTGGTGGTTCTCAAAGACAGCAGCGGACCAACCCTTTCCACCATTGATGGCAAAGCCGCCATCCTCCGCATAACCATTCGCAACGTTTGAGTTACCCACAAAGTACGACAAGGCACCAGTCGCAGTCGGCCGGAACTGGTTCACGGACGCCAACGTTGGTTTGAAGAGCACGTTGGAGTGGCCATAGCCGTAGAGTTCGGCTGCTGCTGCTCCTGCCACTGCCACGAAGTCGCCACCAGCAAGGTAGGTGTTTGAGATGTTCACGACAGCATTGGCCCAGGCATCCTGCACAGCAAGCACCTCTGCCCGAGAGATGGGCATTTCATAGGGCTTGGAAGAATGGTGGAGGAAGATCCGCAACTTACCATCCTCGCTCCTCTTGTAGCCAAAGCTGTACTCAACCTTGGACACTTTGCCATCGTCGGCGCTGGTGAAGTAGTAATTACCCATGGCAGCTGCAACGTTGCCACTGATCTCGATCTGGTGGTTCTCAAAGACCACTGCAGACCAACCCTTGCCACCATTGATGGCAAAGCCGCCATCCTCCGCATAACCATTCGCAACGTTTGAGCTCCCCACAAAGTACGACAAGGCACCAGTCGCAGTTGGTCGGAACTGGTTCACGGATGCCAACGTTGGCTTGAAGAGCACGTCGGAGTGGCCATAGCCGTAGAGTTCGGCTGCTGCTGCTCCTGCCACTGCCACGAAGTCGCCACCAGCAAGGTAAGTGTTTGAGATGCTCAGGACAGCGTCGGCCCAGGCATCCTGCACCAAAAGCACGTCGTTTGCTGAGATGGCCATGCTGCCACTCCCTTCCTGAGAGTCCGTGAAATCCTGCACCAGCACTGCCACAGCAATTGAGACACCACACGTCACCAAGGCCAATAGACCCATGCAAATCATGCCACCCATCAGCCTCTGGTTGGTCTTCTGTAACGCAAGAAGATCTTTGGAGAAGTCCTTCGATGCCTTGTCCACAGCAGTGTTGGAGACGTCATTGGCCGCGTCCATTGTGGCTCTACTCTACACTCTACAGAAGAACGTCTGTGTGAACGTCCGAGGAGAGACAGCTTGAGCCCAAATGGCTGCAGGCGCGTGCTAGAAGCCTTCCGCAGTCTCGGCACTCAGGGCCAACAAGCCAAGCAGTTCCCGCTTGTTCAGAACCTTGTCCAATCAAGCCCAGCAGAATCGTGCTCAACTTCACTCCAGAAAACACCTGACCATGCGCGCTCTTCCCTCTTCGACTCGTGAGGCGATGGACTTTGCCACAGCTTGTTCGAGGCCTGGCGGAAGGGCGTCTCTTCGCGATAAACGAATTCGACTTGGCCTCCCTGCTCCAACCTGAGCGATTCAGGGACTGACAGACTGACAGCTCCCAACCGAGGCCGAGCTGCCGTGATTGGAGGAGGCGTGCGCGAGAGTTGGACATGCAGCCGCCAACAGCAGCTGCCAGCACTGCGAAAGCCTTCGCCGCATGCATCCCAGGCCAGGCCGGTTCAGGATCCCACGCCGCGAAACAGGCAGGATCAACTTTCCATAACGTGACAACCGTCCTCTCAGCCTATGCCCACGAACCTCACAGTCAAAATCCTACAACTCTCGACCCCAAGCAGTGAGAACCTTTAGAAATTTAGAATGCTGTGCTGCCCAGGCCGAGGCACAAGCAGCAGCGCGGCGACCCGGCGCCGGAAGCGCTCCCACCGGGCCTCCTGCCTCAGGGACGCCAAAAAAGGCAACAGGGTGTTCCGCTTGTCAATGTCGACACACACACACACACACACCGGAAACAGCAGGCCAGTACGCCTCCGCAAAGCCAGGAGGATAGGTCATTCCTGTTGTGTTCATCAGCTGCTATACTGTAAACTGTAAACTCAACTTCTACTCTTACCTTGACTCGCGCAAGCGGCAGGAAGCCGAAGCGAGGCCGGTTCTGCGGCCTTTTGCGTTGTGGAATACGGCCGCCGGTCTCGACCTGTGGCGAAGAGCAGCTGTCGAAGCGTGGCAAGGAGAAGAATAGAAACACTGCCACGGAGCGACGAATTCCAACGCAACTGTAAATCAGGCTTCGGCTGGCTGGAATGAAGCCCATCTTGCAAAACATAAGCTTCCACCGCAAGCCCGCACGTGCTCCAACCCTTTTCAGATCCCCGTCCACACGCCGCTCTGTGATGGATGCACGCGCAGGTCCACCACCGCATCGTTGTCGGAGGCCCAGGCAAACGGCCCAGGGCACCCCTAAGGCCAATGAAACCGTGGGCAGCACTGCGGAAGGGCCGCGCCTCTGAGCAGGCGGCGCAGACAAGCGCATGTCTTGTCTGCGGCAAGCTGAGCTGACCAAGAGACGCCCTCCATGTTGTTTTTTCGGAAACAAACCCACCGTGAAGGCTTCTTCAACTACTGCAGCTCCGTGCAGCAAGCGGCAACAACAAAATTAGCTGGATCCCCAAATCACCCACACCTATCCCACTTCAACATCTTCGGAGCTGGACTTGGCACAAAACCAGGGCAAACTTGTGCCGTCGCGGCCTCGTGGGCAGGCTCCCTGCGTGCGCCCGCAGCTCACGGCCCGCGCCTTCGAAATCAAAGCAGGGCGTCGCTGTCGTGTTTTGTTCGTTCGAAAGAGAAAGGGGTCAGTGTACGCACAAGGCAAACACCTGTGTGCACATGCCGATGTGCAGCAGCCTTCATGCCCAAACACATGCACTTAATCTACACACGGAAACATCTACATCGCCACATTCGCAGAAGCACTTTGTTTGTTGTTATTGTAACTGTTTGATGGCTAGCGGCTTCATGTGCTATGTCATATATTCCAATTCGACGCATTTCCCAACCTTTCACACATATGTGCATTGTTGCATGTGTCTGCGCGCCTTCCAGCATGTTTGTATGTTTGCATGGCTGCATCATGGTGCATTCTCGTACATGCATGCATGCATGACGGTGTGGGCAGTAGCACCTTGCAACTTTCTTGCTTGGAAACCCAGCCTGCGCGACTGAACCTTGGCAGCTGTAGCGCAGCCTGCGCAAATGTTACAAAAGGCGACGGATGCGGGCTACGGGTCGCATATGTATACATCTACATCTACAGTCTACAAATGTCTGTACAGTATGTATGCACATATGTGTGCACATACGCACACACGCAGATTCGCAGCCATTTGATGCCATTCGTACAGGCCGTGCCCACGGCCCAGCACGAAAGTCTTCCCACTTGTGCCAGACCTTCCGGTCGGGTGTTGGCCGGCACCTTTATGGGCCCTGTGGTCTGGTACTGCATAGAGCAGTCGGAGTGCACTTCAGGTTTCTGCGCCACAAACCTCTTGGGACTGTGAGCCCCTGCTTTGATCAGGTGCAGTTTGAATTGACTTCTAGGCGTGCATCCCCCGGACCCTGAATGCTAGGATACGTACATCTGCAGGTACCTTCCGGTGCACCCAGATGTAGCGCCTCCCGATCGAAGATGCCGGAGGCTGCCCAGCTAGAATGGGGACACAGAGTCATAGTGGGCTCATCACACGCGCTTGAGCCACGCCCCTGCGGTCCCAAGCTCCAAAACACATCTGGGCAAGCTTCCTCCACGCTGAACTTTAGGATGTTGAGGAACAATACGCATTGAGAAAACTAGCACTGCACTTGTGCCTTGCGATGCCCACATACTATACATATATACACATACATATACGTATACATGTATAATATACGTATATATGTAAGTCTCTGAGTCTCGAAACTCGGGTAGGGTCCAGCCGAAGCTGGTCGAAAATTTCCAGCTGTGCAAAGCTGGCGCGTAGACGAAGTAGTGCCAAGGTCCGACTCGACGTAATCCGTACACCCGAAAGCCACCCCCATTGTGCGGAACTTCATGCTGTAAACCCGTGAGCTTCTAGGCCTGGCTCAGCGATCAGCCCTCAGCCTTCGGGGCTTCAGCTGCCCTGTCGGGTTTCAGGTGCTGCGGTGCTGCTTCTGCGGTAGTGCGTGAGTTCTCCTCCCACTGTGCGGCGGCAGCCAGGGCACACAGGAGCGAGTTCTGTGACACCTCGGTCCAGTCCCGTCAGTTTCAGCGACTCTCGCGAAAACGTGCCGCGGCTTGGCCCTTGGCCTCGTCGGGTTTTAGGGAGCGCTGCAAGCTGCGGTAGAGGCGCCTCGGCTCGTCAGAGCCACGCGCAAAGATGGCAACTGTGTCGAAGATCTACGCATGTCCCAGGCATCCATATTGTATCTGATGCTCACTGATAGTTGCTGCGATTCAGCTGCAGCTCCAAGACTTGACGAGGCGTGATAACTGGCATTGCATTTTTACGCACCCGCAGACTTTTTCGTCCGGCTCGTTCCAACTTGAGCAAGTACGGCTTCAAAGCTTCGACTTGAGATGGTGCTAGTAAAGAATAGGCACAGTCTCACAAGATGCAGCTGCTTGTAGGCTGCTGCACGTCAGGGTTCAAACTTCACAACTCCAATCCGGCGCTAGGCTGCCTGCGATTTTACGAATTCCACTCAAGAGCTATCTTGCGAAGCTTCGTTTGGTCGCGTTGGTCTTACCCAGCTTCAGCCAGGCGACATGGCGTTCTCCCACTGCGCACCCTTCGCACCTCAGAGGCAAGAAATTCCCGCATAAACTTCGGTGGCTTCGTTGAGGCTCCTTGCGACTCCCTCTAAGACCCCCACAGGCACTCATGGCCGCGTTGAAGACCACCCGTGACCTCTGCACCGAAGCGCCACCCAGGTCCTGCTCTTTGGGACTCTGGGGACCCAGTAATAATCGGAAGCCTGGCCCCCGAAAGGGAATCTGTCTTCTTGCACTCGGAGCTGTCCTGAAAGAGCTCCAAGGCCAACTCCCATTGCTCTGCCTGGTCCCGAAATGCTGGAACACCATAGACAGCTCGAATGCACGGGTTCGCTGCATGTGCGGGGTTCATATAGCTCCATGGTGGCAGAAGACCCTGCGATCACACAGATTGATTGCAAAGGGCCCTCTCGCACGCGCTCACCACCGCGCCCGCGCTGCGGTCGGTGGGCGCCAGGCGAGAGAGGTGGAGGCCTCAGCCCCAATCCAGTCCCTGTTGCCGGCTGGGCTTGGGAGCTTTCCAAGGCAGAACTTCTTGAGGAATCCAGCTCGATGCGAGGAAGAGTTCACAATTCAAGCCCTTGCTGCCCACGCGGCTGCGCAGCATCTGCAAAGCCAATGGCCATCTCGCGGATTTGTGGCCGACGCTCATCATCCTTGGCTTGGTCACTCTGAGTTTCAGCACATGCACTGCCCGCTGCGCATGTGCCACTCAGACTGCTGCGATTTGCAACCTGCGGGCTCAAATCAAAAATGGCTTCGACTATACTTCCTGCGTCACAAACGAGACCATGCGGTACAGTCGTCCTGTCGTTTCGCATTCAGCCACGCAGCACGTTGTAGGTCAGCGTGTCTGGCTGCAAGTTCCGACGCTGCCTTAGACGTGGCAGCAGCAACCAACATGGGAACCCCCCGGACCCCAAGCTGGGTGAGGCGCTCTCTGTCAAAAGGGTTCCCCCCCAAGGCCCCGCTTCAGGCAGTCTGAGGCACAGCAGGGCGAAGAGTGCCAGCGACGCTGCCCAGGCAGATCCGCGGTGGCAAGCAGTCAAAGCCTGGCCGAAGCCGAGCATTTCAGAGACTCTGAGAGACTCTGAGCCTGTACTCCCAAAGAATGCTGGAAGACTTGCCATCGAAGTGGCCGTGTTGAAAGAGACCAGGTTTGCCTGCCGGTGAAGGCCGATGGATGCAGAAGAGCAGTTTCGAAGTGGGGGGGTGGGTGTCCTCTTCTACCATGCAAGACGGACCCATCTGCAGACATTCGCAAGCTCCAACCGAAGAGCAGAGGGCCTGGGCGCCTGCCGCGCAGAGCAGTGACAATGCCGGCCTTGGGTCAGTTATCGCAAGACTCAAAGGCTCCCAGGTTTCGTCAGAATCCAAAACGAGGCTTCCTTGGTGCAAAGTTTCATCACCACCTGGTCACCGAGACCTCAACTGATGCCTAAGAACCCAAGTGGAGCTCCGAGCCTCCACTCGCCAGACATTGCGCAGGCATCCATGGTCGCATTGAAGCTCACCTTGAAGGGAACAGGATGCCCCCCGGACCGACAAGGTCCGACGATATCGAAGCGGGAGAGACAGCAGAGGATCCTCCCAGGCCAAGCTGGATCCTAGAACTCTGCCTATTCCGGAGCCTCCTGCCCGGAAAGGGGACTCCATCCTGCGGTGACACACTTCTATTTACGGCTCTCGATCGCGGTCTAGCCCGGGGTGCTTCGATCTTCCGTCTTCGGTTCAGCAACTGCACTGCTGTCCGAGGGACAAGGTCGTGTGGAACTCGCTCCTGAAGAACTGCACCGACAACTTACTGGGATGGGGGCCTCACTTCTCTGCAAATCACATCCCCAGCGGCAAGCTTATCGCACCTTGTGGCTGCATGGCACAGATTCTCTTGAACCGGTCTACCCAGGCCCAGGCCACGTCGCATAGACCTCAAGGCCGACAAGTTCGTGCTTCTGCCTGGCTCCAGCCCCCTGCAACCCCCGTCTCCTTCATCATCCGGTCGAAGAGGCCCAGAGCCGGCTGCCACTGCACTCCCTTCCAGGCGGAGCAGAGATCAAGAGATCAAGAGAGCACACTCAGCAAACTCTTCAGAAAAAAACTCTTCAGCGTGGCTTCGGACTTCGGAGCCCGTCCTCGCTGGAAGCGCTGATGGTGGCGTTGAAGCTGACCTACAGCAACAGACTTTCAGCGGCCTGCAGTGTAGTCATGCCGTGGGACTCTTGCTTTGGGCTTCTCCTTTCAGGAGCTTCTCTCACGAAGCTTCCCCATTCCCCTACCTTTCCCCATAGTAAATTCGGAGCAAGTCGCGGTGTCAGGCCGTACGCGCTTTTCTTGCATGTCCTGCTTTGAAGCTTCGACTGCAGAGCTGCATCGCTTGCTCTCGATCAGGCCTCCCTTGCAAAGACTGTGAACTTCGAGCTCTGATGGTGTTCCCTGTCCAAGACTTTTCTGAAACCTGGCTTTGCTTAGACGATCTTTCCAAGTGCTGCGACCGTTCATGTAAGACACAGGGCCGCATGTAGCCGCATGACTCATGACCCCTCGTTTTGTGCTCTCGGTATCACCACAATCACCCCCGAACAGGAGCTCCATGCTCGCCAATATGCGATGACTGTGAAGCTGCTTCAACCCTAAACGGACCAAAGGCTTGAGAGATCTTCCCCAAAAAGACCCCCTGAACCCCGCCTCCAAAAGCCGAAAGGCCATGGGCCACGCTTGGCCGCGTGCCTGAGGCAAATCAGGGCTTTCTGTTGGGAACCGTGGGCTTTGACATGTCTCCAGGAGAAGCAGAACCACCAGAAAGTTATGAAAAGGTGTTCCGTCCTTCCCCGAACCCTCTGGGATTTCAAACGGACTCAGCTACTCAGTCGTGGGTCTCGCAGGAAAATGGACGGCAACAAAGTTCCGATGCCGAGCGGCACAAACGCTGATGCAGGCGTTGTAGCCTCAGTTGCTTAGGATTTCTCACCAACCTGCACTCGCTGTTGACAAACTTTTCGAACTCAAACCGTTCGCCAAGGAGGCTCCTTGATTCCCAGGTCCCAGGGCTCTCAGATGTCTCGAGGTGTCTTGATGGTTTCTGGTGCCGTCTTCGAGGCATCGCACTCAAAACAACTGCCATATCCAAACACCACATGTTTTTTCGGATCAAGAAAGAGGAAACTGCACAGCCGAAGTCCAACATTCCCGGACTGTCTGCCGAGTTGCCGATGGTACTTCCGCCTACCTGTCCGGCTGGGACCGGTGTTGGGGCTGCGTCTGCGAGGGCTTGAGGTTTGCATGTCAAGGTAAAGCTTGTCCAGTTTGAAAATAAACAGCTCTTTTGACATATACCAGCTCCATCCCATAAGTGTCGATCCCGGTGCAGAAAGCCCTCCAACTTGAAACTCCTGAGAACCCTGGACCCTGCCTCTCGGCACATGCCTGCAAGGAGCTCCAGGGCCACCTGCAGAATCCGACATCCTAGCTGTCCTAGCTGCCTAGCTCTCAGAGCTTGGGGTTTCGCTCCTTTAGAAACACACCGAGCTCAGCTGCAAGCAGCTGGGGTAGCACTCACATCAGCCTCGCGTCAATGGACAAACCAAAGCTGGAAAAGGTGCTCAATGTCTCAAGCTTTGCCCGCCTGAAGCCAGGACAAAGAACTCTAAGAGTGTTGTTTGGCAATTTGTTACCCTTTCAACCAAACCGCCCCCCCCCCCGCTTCGCGCGGAAGCTCTGGGAGCCGGGGGGCCTGCCAGCGTCCGGAGGCCTGCGGCTGGGCCCTATGGCCCTATGGTTCCCCAGAACTCCGGTCCACACTTGAATCGAATCCCGAGCCGAACTCTCAGGCTCCCGAGCCCAGACGTCTAGTGCCCTTCAGAATCCGGTACACTCTGATGTTTTCTGAGTCAGTCGGCTTGAAGATGTAGTGGTGGCACGGTGGGGTTCCGGAGCCATGAAAACAGGAATGGCAACAGGAATGGCATGAGACAAGCCTGGTCTGGCAACCACAAACTTGAACTGGTCGGGTGCGACGGGAGGGAAGTAATGCAGAATCTTGGATCTCAGTCGCAGGACCTAGACTTTGTCGTGACTAGCCAACCTCAGCAGTAACATACCGACCCTGACACCGAGTCGGTAGAACTTGCCTCCTGAGCGCTGATGCAGGTGCCTTGGGCGTTGCGCACCAACCGTATGCGACCATGTGCTATTGGTGCTTCGCATGCTCTCTAAATCCACCCAGGGGTGAAGGATACCTTGACGCAGCACATCATTTACCAGAATCAGGCAAACCAACGCAGAGCATCTTTGTGTTTGATGAATCATCAAGAAGAGATACAATAGCTGATCACTTTGGTAGTAGTGGTGTTCGTAAAAAACCGCACAAAGAGATGAAGTGGAAGAAGTAAACAACGCAGCATGAGTCGTAGTAGTATTTGTGGTAGCAGGAGTTGTGATAGCACGAGCAGGAGCGGGAGCAGGAGGGGTAGTGGTAGTAGTAGTAGTAGTAGTAGTAGTAGGAGTAGTAGTAGTAGTAGTAGTAGTAGTAGTAGTAGTAGTAGTAGTAGTAGTAGTAGTAGTAGTAGTAGTAGTAGTGGTAGTAGTAGTAGTAGCAGTAGCAGTAGTAGTAGTCGAAGTAGCAGAAGCAGTAGTCGTAGCAGCAGAAGAAGCAGTAGTAGCAGCCCGAACTCTGTCTTGGAACCTCCACGCCCATCCATTGTCCGGTTCCCAAGCCATGTCGCTCCAGGTCACCACGGTGCGGCAGCCATGGTGCAAAGAAGCCAACAGTGCCAGCGCCTGCTCCCACTGAGAGCCTGGTGAAAGCTTTGAGCTCATAGTTGGTTGTCTGGGTGTTGTTTTGCTCTCGGCCGTTGAGTAGAACCCGACTGTGGAAGTTCAATGGTTTCAGATTAGCACGACATAGAGTCTGCCCACGAGCTTTCGGGCTCAAGGCTGCAGACCTCGGCCCGTCAGGATCCTCGTGACCTTTCCACGACTAAGAAGGGATGCAGATCGATAGAAGCTTCTCTTTTGCACCGCCTTGGTGAAAGGCGCTCATCAGGGCATTTTGCGTGATCGTGTCCTGGCAGCGCAAGTCGAAGCGTAACCCAAAGAAGCTGAAAGACTGACTGTGACTGGGACTTTAGATTCGGTTGCAGGCAATCTGTTGCTTTGTCTAAGCCCTCTGGTGGAACGAGCTCTCGAATAAGTTTGGAGTGGATCGTTTGCCTGATAGCCACGTGACTCCACCATCGTCACAGAAATGTGTTCTGTGGTTGAGGTGCTGTCATTCACCACGGCGTTGACGCATCTGAATCTGTATCAGTTCGTGGACTCACTACACGGCTCTTAAAGCATGCATATGGTATGCATGATAAGCGTCCAAGATCCTCTGCAAAAAGACCGACCGTAAAGCTTCCGACTTCCGACCTCACGCAGGCTACTCCAAGTCGAAACATGTCAGGAGGGCCACCCTGTGCATCGCCATTCGCATCGACCTTACCTTGGAGGCTCCGGATGCCCCCAGCACAAGTGCCAACCCAAGAAAAGGTTGGCCTAGCTTTCCCCAATGGCTTACTCGGAAGCTGCCCTCACCAGCTGAGCTGGTCAAACATTGATGGACCAGAGCTCTCGAATTGTCACAAAAACGCACGAAAAAAACCACTCCGTCCGGCCACGAGCTCGCAAGCGGCCTCCCACTGCGCAGCCTCGGAGATCGAGGCAGTCCGAAGTAGAGGCCGGGTTGCAGATCGCTTCGTGCTTTCTTGCTTATGCATACTTATGCATCTGATCATCTGAGGCTCTTTGGCGCAGGCAGTTATCGCTGTATTGCATGCCTTGGCATTGGCTGGATTGAGAGATGACAGACTGTCCTGCAGCCCAGGTCCTTTTCATTCATGACCATCACATGCCTCTGCACAATCCGGATGTCCAAAGACGCAGGAGTTTCGTGGTCCACAAAGTGCTGGAGCCCAGGTACAACAGTGTCTCGTTGTACTTGCCACTGCGGCATCTCCTCACAGGGCTTTCGGCTGAAGCTACAAACTACCACCCGCCCCAGTCAGATCTCGGCCTCCAGAAGCGCAAGAGCCCCTTGCCAGGAGGCGACCACCGCGCCGGCGGCCAAAAGCGCACCAAACGTGGAGGCCGTGGGCCGGACCTGCACGAAGCCAGGGCTAAGGATGGCAATGAAAAAGCCACAGGGATCTTGGGAACATCAGGACACCTCGATCTGGGACTTGGTCCCCTTTGTGCGAGAAGGGAGATGCTTCTGTCTGTAAGGCACGCGGATTCTAGATAAGGCTAAGCGAACTTCAATTCTCCGCTTCACGAGTGCATGTGCAGATCCTCACGGGAAAAGAGCCCTTCCAAAGATCTTGGGCCTGGTGCTCCTGCAGGGTGGCGAAGATGCGAAGCTGGCGTGACCACCTTCACTGGAACTTCTAGCAGCAGAGGCTAAAGACAAGTTGTGATGTGTTGTGGAGTAGACATTGACATAGTGGAAGTGGTAGAAGATGTGGTCGTCGACATTGTCGTACCCGTAGCGTTTGCGAGAAAACTGGAAGGCTTAATGCTTCCAACAAAATACCACTTCCTTTGACGCACCCCTCTGAGCCCCAGCTCCAGACTCTCCTGACAAACCGCAAACACCCTCCCCGGTTGAGGTCCAGAAACTGGCTCGCATCCGCAAGCGCCGAAAGCGCGACGTTGCCTAGGCCATGTTCCACACGGCAGGGCTGCGTGATGAATTGGCATGCTCCAAACCCCCGCGTGGCAACTGTAGTAGGTCGTGTGGAGCGGGTGTAAGCTTTTGCAAGTAGTCGAAGTGCCTTCAATCCCCCGCCGCCCGTCGCGAGTCGCTCGAGCCTCAGCCCGTGCTCCGGCATCCCTGAAGTCCGTGTCGCAGGCCCGGTTGCAATGGACAATGTTCCAGCCGACTCGTCCCGACTGTGCGGCTCCTTGGCAGGACTTGTCTATGGACGTAGGCGCAGTGTGCAGGAAACAGACACATGCAGACAGAGTAAAGAGCGAGCTTGGCATCTGAAGGCGCCACACAACCAGAAACTACGCAAAAGTAACCACGGAACTCAGAACCGAACGCAAAAGTAGAACACCTAAATACAAACACAGCGAGGACCGAGTGTCGAAGCGCGTTCAAGATCTGAGCCCATTGGCCTCGCACAGGTGTAGTGTTCCATGCGATGCGAGAGATGCGATGTCGGGTTTCCGTCAGTTGCAGCGCACTAGAGCGTGTCTCAAAGTCCCGTTTGCGACCGTACTGCCACGCAAAACACACCAAATCGCCGAGGCCACACTGGACTCTGCTAACCTTTTTGAAGCGACCCCGACTCCTGCTTCCGAGAATGAGAAAACGGGCCTTCTGCTCGGAGGGCCACGAGATGCCTCGTGATCTGCCGCGCCTTCGGGGGCCGGGCCCTGAGACACTGCCCCCTCCCCTCCTCTCTGTCTCTCTCTCTCTCTCTCTCTTCGTCTTCTCTGGTTGGGGACAACTCCCACGGCGAACGTGACCGCCGAGCCCCGGCCTGATCGATGGAGGCACTGGCTCCTCAGCTGTGAGCCGTTGTCACAACTTGGAAGTCGCCTTAAGGCTCACCAGCTGGCCGTCCTCCAGCGCAACCATGTTTAAGGAAAGATGAACCCCTTTCAGCCTTTCGCATTACATTTTCTCTACCCATCTGCACCTCTCCCGCTCTACGTCTTGACGAGACTTGCGACTCACAGGTGCAGGCCGAAGCGCGCCAGCGCGCGCTGCCCATAACTTCCAGCCGCGGCGTCCATGGACAGCGACAAGGAGCGGCAATACCGCCGACACGAGACAGGGAGAGCAACAAGTGAGGGTCCTTAAGGGAGACCCCTACATGTAGGATGAGGTCTGGGTTCTGGGCTGGCTTGGCTCTGAGACGCTACTTGGAACCCCTCAGTGAGCCGAAATCCGCCGCTCCAGACTATGAAACCTGGCTCGCACGGTTGTTCGCCACGTCCGGTACCGACACAACCCGCACTGAAGCAAGCCAAAGTCTGAAAGCAGTGGAGCCCCTGCCCGTCGCCTCCACCGACCGGTAGGCTTGCACGATTTGCCAGGCCGGCGTCGTCTCCTGTGAGCGAATCTTTTGCAGAATCAGCACTGAGCACGCTTGGGGAGACCTGGCCTGGCAAATCGTTCCCAGGAAAAAAATCTCGGAGTCGGGTCGTTCTTTCAGTTTGGCGAATCGAAAGAAGGCCTTTAGATCGGCCCCAAGGCCGCTTGCGACTGCTCCGCTGCAAGTAGCCCGGAGCCCCGAAGCCGAAGCGATTTCTGACTGCTGACTCTGCACCACATCGAGAACAGTAGCAGTGGCTCCATTTTGTGGATCTTCGTCTTCGTCCTCCCATCTGCACATGGTAGGAGGATCGCAGCGCATAAGCCCCCATAGGGGTGCACTGCTTCCCACCCATTCAAGTCTCCTAACTGCGCCAAGAACTGCAAGGGAGCTTTGCCGAGACTGTACAATCGGCCTCTCTTGCCAGGAAACGGAACCGCAAGCCAAGGAGCAGAGCGGCGGGCCCTTCGCCCACAGAACCCTCCAAAGATAGGGCAATTTGCTACTTTCGTGTCCTGCCGAACAGTCAATTAAAACCCCGCCGTCGGCTCGGCCGACTTAGTAGGGGGTGTAGCTCTGGACACAAGCAGAGGCATAGCTCTGCTGCATCTGTTGCCGGCCGAACTCGGTCTTGCACTGCTGCAGGCCTTAGCGACTTTAGTGCGTTGTGCCGATGCCACCAGCAACGGCATGAAGATCCCCGGAAACCCGAAATCTCCCAGCTATCCGAAAAGGCTGACTAGTTGAAGAACAAGCCCTGCGGAGCCAACTCGAGATAAAGCCGGGCAGCTGGTCTGAATCTGTGCCGAATATGCCTGATCCGGTCATTCGGCGACGTTGCTTCTCTCCCGTTTGTCACTGTCGTGGCCCGCCCTACACGGCAGGCCCTGGCCTGGCCGAATCGCTGCTCTGCCACCCGCAGCAGGCCCTGGCATCGAATCAGAGCGCTCGGCAAACTCTGCCACGCTTCTGTGCGCCTCTTCGGAGACCCCGCCCAGGTGTGTCAGCTCCTGCGAGTCGAAGCGACTGCGCCTGCCCCGAAAGCTCAGCACTGACAAAGTCCTTCCAGTGGCCCGCGCTGGTCAGAAGTCTTCCGCCGCTGGGGTAGGTCAGCCTGTAAGAAGCCAAAAAGCCACAAAGCCCCACGACCCAACGATCGGATGAAAGACGCTTACTTTTGCCGATTTTTGCCGGGGGACATCACGTGCCCAGCCGAGGAGGGTCCTTGGTCTCCGAGCGCGGCGGCCTCCGTGAGCCTGACGGCCGCAATTTTTTCCATTTTTTTAGGAAGGGGGGAGGGGTTGGGGCTTAGATGGGCTTAGGTAATCTAACTACATTAAACCTATCATGCCGCAAACCCTTTGCGACGGACACAACCCTCCTTGCCTCTGCAGCCTGTAGGCGCCGCTGGTGTTTGCGCGCTTCTCCGCCTGGCAGGAGGGTCACATGAAGATCAAGACAAGACCAAGAAGGCTCTGGAGTTGCGGTGGGTCGCGCCGTCAGCTACGTATGTTGCTGATGCTTCTGATGCTTCTTTCTTCTACTTGCTGCTGCTGCTGCTACTGCTTTCGAGGTATTGCCTCTCCAAGGTTTAGGCTTCTCCGGAGCTTCAGCTTGAGGGTGGGTAGAGCAGTGGAGCAGGAGCGAAGACATGAAGCTTCTCAGAGATGTCGTGCTCGGGATGGAGGGAGGATGCGAACGGTTTACATGCCCCTAGTGAGGATGCATAGTCGCACGAACCTCGTCAACCACTCCATAGACGATGGTTGAGCCCATCGCCTGGCATTACGCAGGCATCTGAGCTCTGCAGTTTGGAAAGCAGCTTTAGCTTGTAAAGCTGAACCTGTGAAGCTCTAGAAACCCAAGGCCAAAAGACGAACAGACACGACTGTGAAACTGCTCGTGGGGATTCTGACTATCATCATGGTTATCACGGTGATAGTGATGGTTCTCATCAATATACTCCTCCTCCTCCTCCTCCTGCTGCCCATCAGTGCCTTCCGACTCGCCATGATGCGACAGGCGAACGGTAGAGTTTACAGGCTTGCATTTCCAGAGCTCCCAAAAGTCGGCCAGCGCCACATGGATATCGGCGGTGCCGCTGGTGCAAAGCTCCCCGACCTGCTCCAGCCAGGACGGGGAGAACCCAAAAGCACTCCGAGTGGCCGCAAGCGGGCCTTTACGAGCTGCTTTGATGAGCTCTGCTTCAAGGTCTCTGGCCTGGTGGGGGTATCACAAGAAGCAACATGTCCCTGCATAGAATCAGTACACTTCAAATGAATATGCCCGACGGGACCCAAAGAAACCGCCCCAGCCATCGGCTGTCGTGCTTACGCCTTCTGGAAATCGCCCTCGCATTTCGGGTTTCTTGGCTAGCAGCGAGAACGTCAGGCGAAGTTTGCCTTGCGTGACGCCTGAGCACAGGGCTTACACGTCTGGGCTCTGGGCCTGGGATGTGTCTGAGAGCACTCCTCCCAACTCAAGACTCGACTCCCTGGCCTTACCCTCCAAATGCTGACTGCCCTGACTCAGGGCCAACAAGGCGCCCAGCTGTCGGAAAGGATTCGGGCCGAGCAATTCCTCGCTCCAGCTGGCGATAAGCGCCTGTCTTCTGCGTGGTTTAGCGTTCTAGGGTCTGGGGTGCTTCGAAGAGCACATGTGCCTTAGTATCGTAGGCACGCAGCCCCAGCCCCACTATGCTCCAGAATGCGCAATCGATGCCGTCGCTGTGCGAGTTGTATGATGCATGAGGCTGTGGACAAGGATGGTCGCAGAAGCCAATATTTCACGGACATGCAAGTCACTGCCCCAGTAAGATTATTGTAATACTGGTGCGCCCGAGGTGCGCATATTTTCCATCGACTGCAGCAGTGCAAGAGTAAGGTTACGATATCGCCCGACAGCATCCGTTGAGATGAAGCCTCACACCATCCTGGATACCATGCTATAGAGATTGATGGACATGTCGGATGAACTCCTGTACGCCGTCTCACCATCTTGCGTAGCTTCTGTTGAATGATGCTGCGCTCCCTTCTGCACCCTGTAGTCCGGCCTTAAGGCTGAAGTCCGCAAACCTGGGTAGTTTGCAAGAGACTTTGAGTGCAAGGTTTGGACTTGGGGGATTTTGCTTCTTTTTTGATGCCGGGGTGCATCACCATGTATCCGCGATCGAGAGCAAGCTTCGCCAGCTTCACGTTCATCGGCGCCTTCTCACCCAAACCCGTACATTCTCAGCTTCATGCTAGGGCTGCTAGAGCTCGTGGCCAGAACCAATGGTGCGAGAACAGCTTTTACACTTTACAACCTGCCTTCCTCATCCTCATCGCTCGAAAAGTAACAAACACGTGTCCATCTGCATGTGGCGCCTGAATGCTCCTGAAGACTCTTGTGCATTTGGGGCCGAGGGCGTGCCATCCAAGAGGTCGCTCCGCACAGGCAACTTCTGAATACCAATGTGGTTGTCGTGCTCATCTCTGTAACTGCAAAGTGTCAGAAAGGCCTCACATAATGACGAAGCCTAATTAAGGCAAAGGACCTTTGCGTGACCCTCCAAAACCAAGTGTAGAACCCCATCCCCTAAAACCAAGAATCTGAAGACATCCCAACCAGCCTGGTGGAGCTTCACAAAGCTTGGTGCGCGCTGCGGATACTGCATGGCGAATCCTGGGCCTGGGTGCTTCATGAAGCACTGAGCAAAAGGAAAACTGTCACACAACTCTAACAGAACCGCGGAGCTGGCGACTTTTGATGCTATTTCAGATTTTGCAACACTGAATGACCAGGGCCTCCTGCAAACAAACGCTGATGCCGGGAACAGCGCGCACCCAGCAGGAAGTAACCAAAGTTCTACATCCGATGCGTCCCAAACCTGCGGCCTAAGCCAAACTTCTTACATGCATGGCATACGGTGACGATTTTCAAGCATACGGCTCTTTGCCCAAATCCCAAAGCCCTCGACCTTCGGATGAGGCGGGGTGCCGTGTGGAAAGCCCGCCTCGCTGCAGCCGCTGCAGCATTCCTTTGTCTCTTTGTCTTTACGCCGCGGTCACAAACAGCGAACACCGGCTGTCAGCAGTTCCCGCGCTCTGTGTCGATACCGAGGCACCCAGTTGAACACAACCTTCTCCTTTGGGACGGCCTGAGGTATAGAAGCTGAAGCTGGGCAGGACCCGAATGTCCTTTGAACCTGTGCCACCTGCCGCGCAATCGCAACCGCCCGCAACCGCCCGCAACCCGCGGACCGGCCTGAAGATCCTTCAGAAGCTCCGCCAGCTCCGGCTTCTGCGTCTGGCCTTCCTGCGAGGAGTATCCCCCGACCTCCCCCCCGCTCTCCAGCACTCCCCAGCGGCTCCTCGATGGCTTTCCCGAGTTCCTCGGCGCTCCTCATCGCTACCTGGGCTGCATCCGTCGTGATGTCAGAGAGTCTGGAGGCTTTCGAACCATGGCCGTCGGCATTCAGCGGCCTCTACCTGCTACCTGATGTGAACTTCTAATCAGCGGCCAACAAGTGCCTATAGGTTTCATAAACCACCCATCTTCAAGATACTCCCACACGGCCGTCATTGGACCAAACGCGGCACGCACGTCCCTGAGCCAATCCGAACTTTCTGCTCAGGCGCTGCATACACGGCCACAACCTCGGCTGGTACATGCGAGGTGAGCGGAGGACATTTCAAGCTTACTGTAGCCCTTTAGCTCTCTGCCCCCGGTTTACGAGGAACACCTTCAACTCTGAAAGGAGGCAGCTCTGCATGCGATGGCGGCACAGTGCCGTCGTCGTCGGACTGCGACATCTCCTGGCTGTTGCGAATCAGAAGCCATTGGGTCCGTTGCTCCCGGCAGAGAACCCTTTGGCGGATGATTGCACGTTTCGCATTTCTGATCTGAGACCTCAAAACCCTTGGGACCAACGGTAAGGGAAGGGCTCGGCAATCCTGAGACTTGCCTTCCCCTATTCCGAGCTTCTGGCCGCACACCAGGCCCTGAAACCAGCATCTTCCGAAGAAGGGGCAGCCCTGCAGTTGTTGCTTCGACTTGATTGCCCCGGCATCCTTGAAGATGGGATCGTAGGAGGATCCGTCACACAGGGTCAGGATGATGCCGCCCAGGGTCTTGTCTTCCGTGTCCTCTGCAGCTTGAAGCAGGGCTACGCGAACACTCAAAGCACGCTGGTATGATTTTTAATATTCTCACACGCCTGAGCTTCAAGGTTTTAGGCGGGCCTCACATTGAATCATGTAAAGTTACATGCGTCCTGCCCGAACAGCTTCTTGCCAGCAGATGGTGGACTTAGCTTCTGCACCTGCGTCTGTCACCGCTCACCGGGCACAAGCCCTAAAACAATACCACGACAGGCCTATAGCAACCGAAGCTCGGAATCCGCGGATGCCAGCAGTCGGATGCCCTGACCCCTCTGCAAGAGAGTCGACTCCCCACAACAAGGACCGAGTGACCGAGTAGTCATGGAGCTGGCAGAAACCCGGGCCTGTTGAAACTGCTGAAACCCCATGGGTGACTGCTGTTGCGGGAACCCGCCGGGCAGTGCAACCCCAGGTGGGACCTGGAGCAAGGAGCATCTACAAGGCGCGAGCGAGCCAATGAGCCTACGATGCCTACGCCATGTTACATGACGGGTCATCATGTAGAAACGATGCTCATCTGCTCAACTGAAATCATGCTTCTGACCTACTTCTCCGATCAGCTTTTCGACGGCAATTCTTCATCAAGTTCGCCCTCAAGAAGCTACGCGAATACCGAGCCGCACACAGACTGAACTCCGAAACCTCAAACGTCTAAGTCTAAGTCCACTCTGAACCCTGCCTGATAGTAGGGGCCTGGCATAGGCTTTGAAGGCACCTGCAAGATTTCGTGTCAGGATGTTGCTTTCTGGGGTGTTCTTGGGCTCACAACAAAGCACCTGGAAAGACGCTTGAGCGGTGACAAAGCCAGGAGATGGCTGATAGCCATAGCCGCCCGGTGCAAGCTGCGGGGAAGCCTGGCCGACAACCTCAGCGTCGAAAACATGTCGAGTTGCAAAGCTGGGTTTTGGTGTGCTTCTCGTCACATCGTTCTCGAAAACATGTGTGACCCTCTAGCCACAACCGTTTTGCACCTTGCAAAACCCAACCCCTCCAGCAGCCGAATTGGTGGCCGGGAAGCTTGCCAGGACCCCAGCTGCTGCTGCTGCTGCTGCTGCTGCTGCTGCAGCCGCTGCAGCCGCTGCTGCTGCTGCTGCTGATGCACGGCCTTCTCAGGAGGCGCGTGGCTTCGAGATCGAGGTTTTCGTGACAGGGGATGACAGAGGGAAAGCGGAAGGGAGAGGTCTTGGCATGCTAGCGAAATCACGGGGCAGGCAGTGGTACACTGGCAACAGGATGGCACAAGTCCAAGCAAGACTTTGGGACTCTACGTGTCGGCCGTGTTTCAGACCCACGACCGATTCTCCGAGCCGAGGGCCACTGCACAACAGGCCAGCACAGTCTTCTTCTGCGTTTACCGAGCGGAGGCAACGTCTCCGCCTGTGCTCGAAAGGTTGCCAGCAGAAGATGCATGTGGAGGAGCCCTCTTAAACTTACCACGATGAGGAAGCCATGTGAAACAAATGTCCCTTAGCCTTAGCCTTAGCGTCAGGCGCCACCTTGCCTTCTGGGGTGAGGCCTGCGCTGTGACGAAGCTGGCCGGGCCAGCGCTGCCAGGCGGCTGCGAGAGCGGCGGCTGGCCAACGATCTAGGCCGAGGAGCAAACTTCTGCTTTCAGCGGCCCCTGAAGACACGAACCCCAACACTTTCAAGGCTTCAAGCTTCGCGACATCACTCACTATCGAGTGGACTGCCGCGAGTGATTTGCCACTAAAGTTGCGTATACGAGGAGGCATCGCAGCAACGTCGTAGCAGGCGTGGCATAGCAGAAGCAGCAGTGGTCCCACCCGTACTTCGCCAAGGTGCTTGCCAGGACTGCGAGAGGACCTCACGAAGCAGACACTTTGAAGTGATGCCCAAAGCCAAATCTCTCGCGTTACTGATATCTGTCTCTCTCCCTCGTGTTCTCCAAAGCCAAGAACTAAAAGGAGAGTCTCTTGGGAAAGACTCTGAGACTGTCGGCTCTGTGACTTCGGAAGGCCCCAAAGGACCATGGACCATGCCTATTGGCCTTTATGCCCTCTGGCCAGGCCTGGGCCTCGGCCTGGGAGTCTTGCGGAGGGGCACTGGATGCACTGGCCATGGCTGGAAGACACAGGTTTTTGAGCTATTGCGGACGCAGGCGTTCCCTGGGCTGCAGCACGGCGACACGGGAGCCTCCAATCAGAGCGACGTCTTCCAGGCACATTCAAAGATGAGTCGTCATTCTGTGGACAAACATGCGGAACGTGCCCCCCAACTCGGACCTACATCTTAGCTCGCGATGCCCTGTCTCGTCTCTGTCCTCTGTAGCATGCGGAAAACAGTGATGCTGGCCCCCACACCAAGTCATCTGCTTGGCACTCTATACAGAAATGGCAGGCCCGGCGCACAGCTGTATGCCAAGCGGCGGGACTGTCTGAACTCGCCGGTGCGTTGCACTCCATGCCAAGACACCGACCACACAAAACTGGCTCGAGCAATCGAATTACGCATAATGTAAGTGCATTTGTTCAGCCTCGAGTGCTAGACTGCCCCCTTTCGGAACAAGGCTAAAGTTCACATGCAGTTCTCACTGGTGGCCTCGGACTCGGTGTAAGACTCGGACTCGCTGCTTTGAGTCTTGCCCTGCAAAACGCAGATTTCCGGCTGCCATTGATTCAGTACCCGGTCAACCCTGACACCCCGCACAACCCCTTGTGTCCCTTCCCTACCTTGTGGAAAGAAAATGGTGCTGATTTTCCACGTACTCTGAACCCACGACTCTGAAGCTCAATGATCAAACTCCTGTGTTGCGAGCCTATATATCTTCAAGTTTACCCGCTTTGGTCTTGAGGCCCGTGGCCTTCTCGAAGCTCTGTGCCGGTCCGTGGAACATCCCACCCATCTCGGACCAGTAGTAGCAGGGGCTCAGCAGCGCCCAAAACATGACATAGCCCGCATGGACCTGTTCAACGAGAGAGCCCAGGCAAAGCGCGCTGAGTCATCATTCACACGACTCTGCATTAGTCTGTGCCCTAGGCGTCTAGATTGAAAGAGTGAACAGAAGAGGGCATGACGCTTGGCGCAGGTCTGACGCCGACTTCGAGGCTGCGCCAGGGCACAAGACGGCACGTGGTTTGGATCCGCTTATGCCGCTCACATACACGACATACAAGTCATACAAGCAAGCAACTTCGACATCAGCCGGGGCGACGCGCGAGCAGCTTGAACCCCGAACCCCAAGGCGAACATCAGACTTGAACTTCGACCCTGCCTGGAAAGGCAGCAGGGCGTCCTGGATCGGCTTGTAGAAGCAGAAGCCTGCAATCCTGGGCCCCAGATTTGTGCTGCACGCATTCCGCGCGGGATCATCCTGATCTAGTCTCGATATTCGGGGAAATGTGAGAAGGCCTCATCCGGTAGACAGCAAAATGATCAATCTCTCGCAACCAACCCCCTCATCAACAGGCCCCCGTTCGTTCCATTACAAGAATACCTGCTGCCAAGTGTCACTGCCCCGAGATTTCCACCGGCACCCACAAGTGCGGACACAACTGCGAGCTGCTTCCTCGCGTGCGCAACCACTTCGTACAAAGAATTGCGAAGATGACGTGTTGCCATGACCGCATTGCTTCACACGTTGATGTGCTTTCCTGTCCCACATGAATGCAACTGGTGGCAACTGCGAATCACCCACAATCTTCCATGCACTGATCCAAGCTTCCGGTTCATGAAGGGCACGATGCCGTAGGAGGTGCCCTCAGAGGCTAGGTGATTGTCCCACACAAGATCTATCCTTCTGACAGCATGTTTCAAGGCTTGCTGAGCGGGGCCCGCCTCAGCCATCTGCACAAAGAGCGAGAAGCAAACCAAGACTGCCAAGGCCACGTACCAAGGCTGTGAATTGTCCACCTGAAGCATTAGGAAAAATCACCATCACCACCATCACCACCATCACCGCCATCACCGCCATCACCACCATCACCACCATCACCACCATCACCACCATCACCACCATCACCGTCAGCATCACCATCGACATCTGCACCACCGTCACAATAAGAAGGATAACAGTACAAAAAACAATAACAACCACCATAATAACAATACTAATAACATCATCATCATCATGCTGGCGGGAGAAGTGCCCAAGTTTTGTCGTGAGCCACGCCTTTCCGAAGCTAAACAGGAAGATAGCTTCGAAGAAGAGTGCCAGGAACTGAGCCCAAATGCCTTAGTCCACGTTGGAAGACTGCAGCTTCCGACTTTTGCATCAAAACAACGCGGTGCAACATATTTGCCAAATGGATCCTAGATTCGGCCGCGGAAGCCGAAGTACTTGAAGCAAACATCGCTGCTGATGCCTCCAAAGCAACAGCATTAGCTCAACAAGACCACAAGACACTCGTGCCCAAACCAGAGCCTCCCAGAGATCGTGCGAACAGGTTCATCAGTCCGAAAGCACCAGCCAGGGCGCTAGCATCACCTGTCGCGCAGCTTTCGATTTTCAAGTGCATGAGAATCTGGCATGCAGACAGCACGAGCCTGCATCCATCTGGAAGTACGTCCGAAAATGCGTGGCCAACTGATTGTTCATTGCGAGTTCCTCACAAACGGAAAATTAAAACAACGGGCAAGCACAGGGAGCCCCGTTTGGCCATGCTAGAACAACGGGCTGTATTCTTGTATTCTGGACATTTACGCATCTATGCTTCTGCTGCTACAGCTGCAGACGGGGATCTGTGCCAAAACACGCGGAATATTGGAATATCATGACCACGACGCGAACGTCGCGCAGCACCTCGACATAGTCCCACATCGAAGGCTTTTGGGTCTTGCCGGTCACGGTCGGATCGTAGTTGCGTGCCGTCGGCATATCCCAGCACCTCGGCTAAGCCCTGGGAACGGAAGTTTTCGTTCAGCGAAGTTTATCGAAAAAACTTCGACTAAAGCCAAGCAAATCGCATCTTCAATCGGCCGAGCATCATGAGCTTCATGCAAATGGCACAAACGACGAACATGACCGCTGGCACCACCATGGAGACACGCCAGGCAACATTCGGCTCCATTCCGGAGGCCACCATAGGATTGAAAAGTACTGACATCATAAAAATCCTCAGCCACTTATACAATCAGTATCACAGCAAACTTCCGCACTCAAGCACAATGTGCAGAAAAGTGTGTGAAAGCGCATGCAAGCTGCTGGGTCACGCCGCCTCCCAAGTTGCCCCAACCGGCCGCAGTGGCGTTGGCCGTGCCGACCACCTGCAATTCTTAAAGACCGGTTTACACGCTCTTTGGGGCCTGAATCCTTTAAAGGAACGAGAAGCAACATCTGTCTGAAACGAGCTCTGGGAACGTTGGGGGCAAACATCAGCGAGCACCAGAACTGATTGGTCACGAACGTGGCGCCAGCGCAGCCTGCCGGGGGGGGGCCGGGGGGGGGGGGGCGGGACAGTGAGACTGCCACTCTTTGCAAATTGATACCGGGAACAGCATTCATAAGAATAAAGCAGTGAAGGTATAAGCTCACCCTTAGCAATGTCAACAGCGCATACTCCTAACTAAGCCCGATTATTGCGTGTCACTGACCATAATTCTCTCGACATCCCCCATCGCTTTTACAGAAAGGAGTGACCTGGACATTATGGACACTCCCCTCAGCCTATGAAGAAACGGATCAGCGTATAGTTCCATGGAGCCGTAATGGCGGCCGCCATGGCCACCCAGAAAGCCCCGAAGGACATTAAGCCGCACTGAACGTTCACCTCAGCAGGCAAAGGCTGGTTTTGGGCGCGCTGCCGCTTTCAAACAATTAACAAGTTAGGGAAGCAGGTCCTGCTGACAAGTCACCGGGCCAAAGCGCTCTAGGAGCGTCCCCAAGGCTATCCTCACGAAGATGGTCGATGCAACCGAGGCCACGCCCGCGTTCGCTATCACCTAGGCTGTTCAGTAACCCACTGGGAAAAAGTACATACTTTTTAGGCTTCTTAGTTTAGAATAGGAACCCAGAAACCTGAAAGTAAAAACGTGTACCACTGAACAGCCTGGTCACCGACTTGCACTCAGTGCCTGGGGTGCACACGCACTTTGCGAGCACCTGGGGCCTGTACTTCTCCTTCTGCTCGGCGGTTGAGTCGGCACCGCTCTCCACATCTGCGGGGACGTCTTTGCAGTCGATCAGCTTGCCGTCCTCCTTGAGGACACCATACTGGCAATAGCTCAGCCCACTCTTCAAGTTCTTGAACTTCAGGTAGGCTGGTCGCGTTGGGAAGTCCGTAGGAGGGAAGAGCTGGTTCTCGCACGTCCCCATGCTGGTCGCAACTTCGAGACCCAAAGGCGCCAAGGCAAACCAGCCTTGGCTGCTGGGAGTGTGTGTGGTGGCTTGTTAGGCTGAGCGCTTGGCTGCTGGGAGTGTGGTGGCTTGTTAGGCTGAGCGCCTCAGGACTGGCTGCTGGGAGTTATGTACTTACGCGCTAAACTCAGGAGTGCCAAGTTTACGGAGTCGTGAGAAATTCTACGAAGTAGCCCAGGAAGGCAAGGAAGAAAGAGATTGTGCTGGCCCAGAAGGCACGCATATGCGGATTCTGCTGCACGGTGCCACAAATCCTCAGTAGCGGCAGCTCCGTGGCCTTCTTGGTGGAATCCACTGCCAGCTTGTACTCCATGGTTCTCAAAGCGGGATGACACTTTCTTTTAATGGATGCTATATAGCTCGAGCACCAAAAACTGCGAGAAGGAGTTCACCCATGCCACTGTCAGAAGCCTCCGGAGTCATACTGTTGTCAACAATTCAAGCAATGACGTCGATCTATTTGCACATTTACGCCTGGAGGCATTCAATCTTGAATGCCACTGCCAGACACGGTAAACTTGAGAAACCGTCCCAAATTATCATGGTACTTATCATGGTACTGTGCTATTCCACTCTCACAGCATGACAGCATCATAACATTATAGCTTCGCAGTACCATGGCATGCTGAGTATGACCTTGTTCTTAGAGTATTGCCGTGCTATGGTCGCAGCAGCCTACATTACAGGCATTGGGGCTCCTAATCTCCAGGGCATCCAGGCAAAGAAGATTTTCCGTGTCTGTTGTTGGCAGCACCAAGTCATGTGCTTGGCACTCTATGCCGATGCAGAGATGGCACGCCCGGGGCACAGCTGTTGCCAAGCGCCGGGACTGTCTGAACTCGCCGGTACATTGCACTCCATGCTAAGGCACCGACCCACTACACAAAACTGGCTCGAGCAATCGAATTAGCATAAGGGCCTTTTTGTTCAGCATCGAGGGTCAGGCTGCCTCTTTCTGAACAAGGCTAAAATTCACATGCAGTTCTCACGGGTGGCCGCAGTGGTGGCCACGGACTCCGCGTGAGACTCGTACTCGCCGCTTTGGGTCTTGCCCTGCAAAGCTCGGAGTTTTAGCTGCCACTGATTCACTACCCAGTCAACCCTGACACTCCGCACAGATCATCGGCTTCACCAGACTTTCCCTGTGTCCCCGCCCCCCGTCTTGCCGAAATTAATGGCGCGGATTTTCCACATGCCTGAACCCACGATTCTGAAGCTCAATGCTCGAGCCTATCTGCAAGTCGGAAGAAAACAGAAGGACCCGCTTTGGTCTTGAGGCCCGTGGCCTTCTCGAAGCTCTGTGCCGGTCCGTGGAACATCCCACCCATCTCGGACCAGTAGTAGCAGGGGCTCAGCAGCGCCCAAAACATGACATAGCCCGCATGGACCTGTTCAACGAGAGAGCCCAGGCAAAGCGCGCTGAGTCATCATTCACACGACTCTGCATTAGTCTGTGCCCTAGGCGTCTAGATTGAAAGAGTGAACAGAAGAGGGCATGACGCTTGGCGCAGGTCTGACGCCGACTTCGAGGCTGCGCCAGGGCACAAGACGGCACGTGGTTTGGATCCGCTTATGCCGCTCACATACACGACATACAAGTCATACAAGCAAGCAACTTCGACATCAGCCGGGGCGACGCGCGAGCAGCTTGAACCCCGAACCCCAAGGCGAACATCAGACTTGAACTTCGACCCTGCCTGGAAAGGCAGCAGGGCGTCCTGGATCGGCTTGTAGAAGCAGAAGCCTGCAATCCTGGGCCCCAGATTTGTGCTGCACGCATTCCGCGCGGGATCATCCTGATCTAGTCTCGAAATTCGGGGAAATGTGAGAAGGCGTCATCCGGTAGACAGCAAAATGATCAATCTCTCGCAACCAACCCCCTCATCAACAGGCCCCCGTTCGTTCCATTACAAGAATACCTGCTGCCAAGTGTCACTGCCCCGAGATTTCCACCGGCACCCACAAGTGCGGACACAACTGCGAGCTGCTTCCTCGCGTGCGCAACGACTTCGTACAAAGAATTGCGAAGATGACGTGTTGCCATGACCGCAATGCTTCACACGTTGATGTGCTTTCCTGTCCCACATGAATGCAACTGGTGGCAACTGCGAATCACCCACAATCTTCCATGCACTGATCCAAGCTTCCGGTTCATGAAGGGCACGATGCCGTAGGAGGTGCCCTCAGAGGCTAGGTGATTGTCCCACACAAGATCTATCCTTCTGACAGCATGTTTCAAGGCTTGCTGAGCGGGGCCCGCCTCAGCCATCTGCACAAAGAGCGAGAAGCAAACCAAGACTGCCAAGGCCACGTACCAAGGCTGTGAATTGTCCACCTGAAGCATTAGGAAAAAATCACCATCACCACCATCACCACCATCACCGTCAGCATCACCATCGACATCAGCACCACCGTCACAATAAGAAGGATGACAATACAAAAAACAATAACAACCACCATAATAACAATACTAATAACATTGTTATCATCATCATCATGCTGGCGGGAGAAGTGCCCAAGTTTTGTCGTGAGCCACGCCTTTCCGAAGCTAAACAGGAAGATAGCCTCGAAGAAGAGTGCCAGGAACTGAGCCCAAATGCCTTAGTCCACGTTGGAAGACTGCAGCTTCCGCCTTTTGCATCAAAACAACGCGCCCCAACATAATTGCCAAATGGACCCTAGATGCGGCCGCGGAAGCCGAAGTACTTGAAGCAAACATCGCTGCTGATGCCTCCAAAGCAACAGCATTAACTTAACAGCACCACAAGACACTCGTGCCCAAACCAGAGCCTCCCAGAGATCGTGCGAACAGGTTCATCAGTCCGAAAGCACCAGCCAGGGCGCTAGCATCACCTGTCGCGCAGCTTTCGATTTTCAAGTGCATGAGAATCTGGCATGCAAACAGCACGAGCCTGCATCCATCTGGAAGTACGTCCGAAAATGCGTGGCCAACTGATTGTTCATTGCGAGTTCCTCACAAACGGAAAATTTACAAGCACAGGGAGCCAATGTGTGATCCGTATTGCGTATTAAACCTGCAAGCTAAAGCACCTACTAAGCGCAAGGTTGCGGGCTGGGCGTAGTCCCATTTGGCCATGCTAGAACAAGGGGCTGTAGTTTACACATCTATGCTTCTGCTGCTACAGCTGCATAAATATGCTCGGCAAGGAAACCTTAGACTGAGCAGACGGGAATCTGTGCCAAAACACGCGGAATATTGGAATATCATGACCACGACGCGAACGTCGCGCAGCACCTCGACATAGTCCCACATCGAAGGCTTTTGGGTCTTGCCGGTCACGGTCGGATCGTAGTTGCGTGCCGTCGGCATATCCCAGCACCTCGGCTAAGCCCTGGGATCGGAAGTTTTCGTTCAGCGAAGTTTATCGGAAAAACTTCGACTAAAGCCAAGCAAATCGCATCTTCAATCGGCCGAGCATCATGAGCTTCATGCAAATGGCACAAACGACGAACATGACCGCTGGCACCACCATGGAGACACGCCAGGCAACATTCGGCTCCATTCCGGAGGCCACCATAGGATTGAAAAGTACTGACATCATAAAAATCCTCAGCCACTTATACAATCAGTATCACAGCAAACTTCCGCACTCAAGCACAATGTGCAGAAAAGTGTGTGAAAGCGCATGCAAGCTGCTGGGTCACGCCGCCTCCCAGGTTGCCCCAACCGGCCGCAGTGGCGTTGGCCGTGCCGACCACCTGCAATTCTTAAAGACCGGTTTACACGCTCTGTGGGGCCTGAATCCTTTACAGGAACGAGAAGCAACATCTGTCTGAAACGAGCTCTGGGAACGTTGGGGGCAAACATCAGCGAGCACCAGAACTGATTGGTCACGAACGTGGCGCCAGCGCAGCCTGCCGGGGGGGGGCCGGGGGGGGGGGGGGCGGGACAGTGAGACTGCCACTCTTTGCAAATTGATACCGGGAACAGCATTCATAAGAATAAAGCAGTGAAGGTATAAGCTCACCCTTAGCAATGTCAACAGCGCATACTCCTAACTAAGCCCGATTATTGCGTGTCACTGACCATAATTCTCTCGACATCCCCCATCGCTTTTACAGAAAGGAGTGACCTGGACATTATGGACACTCCCCTCAGCCTATGAAGAAACGGATCAGCGTATAGTTCCATGGAGCCGTAATGGCGGCCGCCATGGCCACCCAGAAAGCCCCGAAGGACATTAAGCCGCACTGAACGTTCACCTCAGCAGGCAAAGGCTGGTTTTGGGCGCGCTGCCGCTTTCAAACAATTAACAAGTTAGGGAAGCAGGTCCTGCTGACAAGTCACCGGGCCAAAGCGCTCTAGGAGCGTCCCCAAGGCTATCCTCACGAAGATGGTCGATGCAACCGAGGCCACGCCCGCGTTCGCTATCACCTAGGCTGTTCAGTAACCCACTGGGAAAAAGTACATACTTTTTAGGCTTCTTAGTTTAGAATAGGAACCCAGAAACCTGAAAGTAAAAACGTGTACCACTGAACAGCCTGGTCACCGACTTGCACTCAGTGCCTGGGGTGCACACGCACTTTGCGAGCACCTGGGGCCTGTACTTCTCCTTCTGCTCGGCGGTTGAGTCGGCACCGCTCTCCACATCTGCGGGGACGTCTTTGCAGTCGATCAGCTTGCCGTCCTCCTTGAGGACACCATACTGGCAATAGCTCAGCCCACTCTTCAAGTTCTTGAACTTCAGGTAGGCTGGTCGCATTGGGAAGTCCGTAGGAGGGAAGAGCTGGTTCTCGCACGTCCCCATGCTGGTCGCAACTTCGAGACCCAAAGGCGCCAAGGCAAACCAGCCTTGGCTGCTGGGAGGGTGGTGGCTTGTTAGGCTGAGCGCCTCAGGACTGGCTGCTGGGAGTTATGTACTTACGCGCTAAACTCAGGAGTGCCAAGTTTACGGGGTCGTGAGAAATTCTACGAAGTAGCCCAGGAAGGCAAGGAAGAAAGAGATTGTGCTGGCCCAGAAGGCACGCATATGCGGATTCTGTTGCACAGTGCCACAAATCCTCAGCAGCGGCAGCTCCGTGGCCTTCTTGGTGGAATCCACTGCCAGCTTGTACTCCATGGCTCCACGAAGCGGGATGACAATCTCTTCTTGGGGGGAGGTTATATAGCTCGAGCACCAAAAACTGCGAGAAGGAGTTCACCCATGCCACTGTCAGAAGCCTCCGGAGTCATACTGTTGTCAAAGGCAGAAGATTCTTTCAGGCAGTGACGTGGATCTATCTGCACGTTTCCTTTGGTTATGTCCCTTCTGGCGCTCAGCAGGGACTCCCGTGTGATGATAGACGTCCGTGTGGGGTGATGGTAGCTCTGTGAGCTATGTCGGTCTTTCCAGAATGGAGATCCCTACAACATGCCATATCAGGCGTTACTTATCAACTTATTCATCACAATATTACATTGACAAGCCCAGTGCCTTGAGCCATGGTGTTTCAACAACCCTGCAAGTCTTCCAGCCGGCTCTCCTTGAGGTCCTTGATCTGGTCTGGCTCAGCCACGGGCTTCTCCTGAGACATATTCATGTATACTGTATCATACTGGGACATGATGCGAGATGACGGAGCAGAACACGATCTGATTGCAATATGAGAACGCGCATCTCAGACCATATATAGTACTGCATTCTGAGAAAAATGACCTCACAATGACCACCGGCTAGAACGGTCCGAGTCCGGGCCTTCCGCATGGCGGCCTCCAGCTCCTTGAAGATCGCCATGCGCTCGGCCCTCGGAAATGACCCGCTGCAGAGAGGAAAGGTTGGGGGAGGAAGTTATGGGATCTTTGTCTTGTGCGGATGATTCGGCGATTCATTGACAGTCCGAGAAGAACTCCGACTCCAAGTGGAGCGTGCCAGACCAGACTTGACCCTTTTCCAGCCCGGCAAGGCCTCCTCTCGGGCGTGAGGCTCAGGGTGAAGCCTTGGAAAGCTCGCGACTCTGCTTGCGACCCTGCCGCCGAACCCCAACATGTCCTCATGAGACCCTCGGCCGCCTCGGCCCTAGAGAACGCACAGTGGCCCCAACGACGACTATGTCTCAAGCTGACGCTTAGCAAATCGGCGCCCGAGATCCGGGCTTTTGCTGCCAACCCGGCCTGTGCCATGTCTACTCTCCAGCCGCTGTGACGTGCAAGAAGCTGAAATCGTCAGAAGGTCAATACAGGCTCGTGTGAGCCGATGCTCAATCTTGTATGCCCGAGAAAACTCAGGTTGATCCCCCTGCGACGCAACAATACCAGATGTCCTAGTCCTAATCTTGGCATCGGCTGGGACTGCCCCACCTTTCGTTGGTGATTCGGACTCGAAGGGGCAGTCGCGACCCTGAGCTCAGAAAATGCTGTTCGCACTCAAGCAGCGGGATGGCACCATGGCACCTGCAACGTTTTCTCCGGCATGCACTGTACAGCACCGGATTGTATTCCTTGGTCTCTGGAGGGGTGCCTATTGCAGGCGGCTTGCTTCGCAGGCTAGCGAGAACGCATTGCGCACGAGCGCCTGCTTTGCACTATGCATGGCCTCAGGCTTAGTCAACCTCCTCAACGGTCGGGCCGCTGGCGCCCCCGGGGGCTCCGCCCATGCCGCCACCGGGCATGCCACCCTCGGGCATGCCGCCACCGCCGGCCGCCTGGTAGACCTTCATCATGATGGGGTTCACGATGCCCTCGAGCTCCTTCTGCTTGGCCTCGAACTCGTCCTTCTCAGCGAGCTGGTTCTTGTCCAGCCAGTCCAGGGTCTCCTGGACTGCGCTCTCGATCTTTTCCTTGTCGCCTCCCTCGAACTTGTCCTTCAGCTTCTCCTCGTTCAAGGTGTTGCGCATGGTGAAGCAGTAGTTCTCGAGGCCGTTTTTCGCCTCGATCTTCAGCTTGTTCGCCTCATCTTCGGCGCGGAACTTCTCCTTGCTTTTCCGTGGTGCTCTACCCCTCCTACGACTTCGCAACTTCACAACCAATACTTTCTCGAAAACAGAAACCATCGGAAACCGCTTCCAAGGTCACTGCGCCCAAGTTTCTGCTTCCTGCACCATGCGGTCGATCTCGGACTGCGACAGACGGCCCTTCTCCTCGCTCATTCGGCACGTCACCAGAACTTGCACGCACATCTGAAACCCTTCGAATCACTTCTTAAGCTAGATTTAAATCAAGACGCGTTCGTGATCGTGATCTGGTTGGACTTGCCGGTGGACTTGTCCGAAGCGCTGACGTTCAGAATGCCGTTGGCATCGATGTCGTAGGTCACCTCGATCTGAGGAACACCACGTGGGGCTGGCGGGATGCCATCCAGGTGGAACTTGCCAAGCAGGTTGTTGTCCTTGGTCATGGCACGCTCGCCCTCGAAGACCTGAATCAACACACCCGGCTGGTTGTCGGCATAGGTGGTGAAGGTCTGTGCCTGTGCAGATCACACAACAAGACCTTAGCCAAAAACGGTCGCCCATGGAAGCCCTCCACACAGAGCAGAGGCTATAGTCAATGCAACTCAAAGGACAAACATAGAAAACTCCGGAGAACAGTTGGAGGTCACAGGCCCTCTTCGAACTTGGATTCTAGAAACCCGTTGCAGGCCTTCTTCGTCGGGATTGTTGTATTTCGCTCGATAAGCTTGGTCATGACTCCGCCGGCGGTCTCTAGACCCATGGACAAAGGCGTCACATCCAAAAGCAGAAGGTCCTGCACCTGGGATGAACCCTCGCCCGTCAGAATGGCAGCCTGCACTGCGGCACCATAGGCCACTGCCTCATCAGGGTTAATGGACCTGTTTGGCTCCTTGCCGTTGAAGAACTCCTGAATCATGGACTGCACCTTAGGAATGCGCGTGGAGCCACCGACCAGCACCACGTCGTGCACACTCTTCTTGTCGATGCCAGAATCCTTCAGGCACTTCTCCACCGGACCCATGGAGTTGCGGAAGTAGTCCATGCACAACTCCTCGAAGCGTGCACGGGACAAGGAGCAGGAGTAGTCGATACCTTCAAAGAGGGAGTCGATCTCGATGGTGGCCTGTGTAGAGGAAGACAGCGTGCGCTTGGCCCGCTCGCACTGCGTCCGCAGACGTCGGATAGCACGCTGGTTGCCCGCCATGTCCTTGCCGCGGTTCTTGCGCCTCGGCTTGCAGGCCATTGCAACTGAAACAGAGTGGAAACGTACAACATTCGCTGCATGACATCAGCCAAAGCCGCTTGAAGTCCTGGATGCAGAAGTCCACTACGCGGTTGTCGAAGTCCTCACCGCCCAAGTGGGTGTCGCCGGCAGTGGCCTCCGTTTCAGACGAGATCTCGCAGACTCCAAAAAACGTCAAAACCCTGAAGCCGAACACCCAAGCCGCTCGAGCCATCAGCACCGCCCGCAAGGCACCTTCACCTCGAAAATTCCATCCTCGATGGTCAGGAGCGAGACATCGAAAGTGCCGCCACCCATATCCTTTGGAGCTAGAGAGCTTTTTCAGGCTTCGCTACAAAAAGCAAGGCTGCCTGAAATCGCTCGCGGTACGCAGGGTTTCGTCATCGTGCGACAGCCAAGCGACGTAGATGAGGACGTTCCTTTCGCCGGAGCCCTTCTTGTCCAGGCCATACGCAATGGCTGCTGCAGTGGGCCTCGAGCATCCCGCGAAAACATACCAAACAAACGTGTGCTCGCGACACGGCTCCATGCGAACCCCTACTCTGGTTCGGTAAGGGGATGAACAAAAACCAAAGTTGACTTGACAGTTGAGTGGCTCGTTGATGATGCGAAGCACGTTCATTCCCGAGATGGTGCCCGCATCCTTGGTGGCCTGACGCTGCGAATCGTTGAAGTACGCGGGAACCGTCACCACGGCATCGTTGAGCTTGGTGCCGAGGTAGGCCTCCGCTGTCTCCTTCATCTTCAGGAGCACCATGGAGGAGATCTCCTCCGGGTGGAACTTCTTCTCCTTCGGACATTACGACGCAACCGGACATTACGACGCAACCTGAAACCTGGTAAGCCGGGTTGAGAAGAAGTTTCGTCCGGAAGGCTTCTCTCGGGTAGATGGGCTGAGAAGAAGTTCCATCCGGACGTATTCTCTGCCAGACGTGTTGAGAAGCTTCATCCGGGAGTCTTCTTTGCGAATTTCGTCATTGGTCTTCCTGCGTCACTCTGTGCCACGGCCCAGGTGTTGAACATTACGATGCAACCTGATAGACGGGTTGAGAAGAAGCTCCATCTGGAAGCCTCCTCTTTAACAAACGGAACTTCTTGTCTTTTGGACATTACGCCGCACCCTGTCAAGAACCGAAGAAGCGAGGCTGCTGCTTTTTCGTGACGTGTGTGCCACCTGGATGGGAATTGTGCTGCATATCATCTGCACGGAACCCTTTATGGGAGACGAGTCCTGCTTCTGGCTGGCTTGGTGTTTTCTTTACGTTGCAACTTGGCACGAGTCAAGCAGCACAAAGAACTTCTTGTCGCGGAGGAGTCAGGGTTCTGACAGGATCCTCTTTGAACAGAAAATCCGCCGACCCCCTTTGTCGGCTTCAAGAAGGTGGACTCGTACTTTGCCCGCCCTTTCAGGCCGAAGCCCAAAACACAATCAATTTTGTCAGGCTGGTGGCACCCGGTGTCTACTCCTGCCAGCCAACCCGACCCCCGCACCAAACGCACCCCTGCCCCTAGCCAATCCCCCCCCTCCCCGTGCAAACCGTCCCAACCCTCCCACCCCCCCGCCAACCCCTCCCTCCCCCAACCCCCCTTCTTCCCCATGGCCTGACAGGCGAAGCCGAAAAACAACCAATTTTGTTGTTTCAAACTGAAATGGAGGCATGCGTCTTGGCTTCCCTACCCCTACCCTTGCCCCTACCCAGCCCCCCCAACCCCTCCCTGGTGCAAACCGTCCCAAGCCTCCCACCGAAGGTGAAGTGCATGAGCCAGCCACCCATCCAAGGCCGGAGCCAACGAAGGACAACCTTCATGATGATTCGCCACACCACCGGTGCCAGAGCAATCGGGCGGTGCTCATCTGGCTCGGCCTTATCGAGGAGGGAAACAGTGCAGCAGGACCAAGAGCGCGGCACGGTGCCATGGGCAAATATGCCCTCGCACAAGCTGATGCTCCGCAGAGTCCGAAAGGCAACACCAGGCCTCCTGCAACGCACCCTGACGAACCAATGCAGCGAGGTCGCGAGGCTTCCAGAGGGCCTCGAAAGCCTGAGCGATGACCGCCGGGTCCTCCACATCCAAGACATTGCCAGGCGAGACAATGGTCTCCTGCTGGGCCGTGTTGATGTCCAGGTGGTACTCAAGCAACAGGTGGTTGGCATTTTACGGCGATGGGTCAGCTATACCGCCCAAAGACGGTGGCCAGCAGCCCAATCAATGCGACGATGGCCGGTGCACGTAGCTGGTAAAGAGAAGCTAGTCTCAAAGTCCGCGTCCAAGTCGCGAGCCAAGCCTTGAGAGAAGACCGACCGAAGCTCCTCACGAGTGGCGTTCTAATCCCCGATGGAGATCTCTACGGCAGGCCCACACAGGTGAGAGCTCCGAAGAGCTCCTCACAAAGCACCTTAGTAGCGGGAAGGTCCGTGGCGAAGGCATAGATGTCGACCGCCAGGAACTTAAAGTAGCCATTGGCATGCGGGACCTCGATGAGGGCCGCAGCGAAGCGCGTAGCATCCAATCGGTCGTCTAGCGCAATCGGCGAGGCAGCCAGAGAGGTGAGGAGCCCTGTGCGGATCACCCTGCGCTCGTCCGGCCGGGCTGCAAAGAACTTGTAGCCTAGCTTCTTCCACGCCTCACAAAACCGAGGAAGTCTGTCCATAGGGATATCCGCCTCCTGCAGCGCAAAAATGTCGGCACCTTGCATGGCCTCGAAGATGGCAGGAATCTTGGCCACCGCGCTCTTATCCACATTCATGGAGCCTATGCGGACGAACGCTCCTCTGGATCAACCTCGCGAATGGCACCATCGTAGATGGCAGTCAAGACCTGCTTGGAGATACCACTGAAGGAAGGGTTCTTGGCGCGGTGCTCCCTCAAAGCGATCTTTCTGTCCTTGCGCAAAGTAGCGGCCGCCCTGCCAGGATGCGGATTCCAAGTAGGGCATTTGTGGGCCAGCACAGCTTTGTAAGTCTTGCACACACCATTGCATCCTTCTCGCGTGCAGCGCCAGGCAGTCTTCAAGCAAAGTGCAATAGGCTGCGATGTTTTCACCAGCACTGGCCTACGGAACATAGCAACATCAGCCTGGCCGCTCGCCTTCAACATGTGATCGGAAGTCGTGCGGGTGACCTGCGTGAATCTGTTGGCGGCATTGTCCTGAAGGGCACGGGCCGTGCACTTTTTGGTTTTCCACCAAGCGCCCATCGTGACAGAAGCATGCTTGTCCTTGCGATGTGCGGCAGCCGCCTTCGTGATAGCATGCCTGCTCGCATTGAGGCGCCGAGGGACAGCAGCATCACAAAGTGGGCATTTCCAGCTTACCGGAGTCCGTGGACTGACAGGTACCACACGCACTGCTCTCGACTGATGTTTGGGTCGCGCGGCATGCGGGTGGGATGATTTGTAATGAGAGTAATGCCGTGTAGCAGCGTGAGCCGCAGACTTACACTTCACCCTCCACGGACAAATGTCGCACTGGGCAAAATAATGCCCATTCTCCAGGAAACGAGAAGGCCGCAGAACTTTGGACCCGTCCACGTGCAACGTGGAAAGTTCGGCTCTGGAGGGACCGCCACGCTGAGCTCCCTCCTGCTGGGGGTCCTGCAAGTCTGGGCCAAACGAGTCCTCAAAGCCAGACAGGTCCTGGTTCTGCAACGAACACGAGCTAGCAGCACCCGTTGTGAGCAAAGGCCGCGGCGTTCCCGGCTGAGTGGCGTAGTCAGAAAGACACAGTCGAGGTGGACCAGCCTCGGTCGACCGAGTGTTGGGACCACTCGGCTGTTTTGCTTGAGCCCGGGTTTGCGACCCGGCTCGAGGGTTTTGCGGCAGTGGCGTCGCCAGTGAAGCTGACTCCTCGCGCTGACGTCCGGCAGGTCCTCGCAAGCACGAAGGGGCAGCACCAGAGGAAGAAGCACAGTCAGAGAGACGAAGACGCCGAGGAGAACCAGGCCCTGAAGCAAACCCCTCCTGCCGAGCCGGAAGTTTACGTTCTGTGCGTTTTGACGAGGCGCAGTCCGAGAGCCGAGGCCGCCTTGGCGTAGAAGCACAATCCGAAAGCGAAAAATGAAGGTCTCGTCCACCTCCTCGCAACAGAGTGGTCTTGAGGTTCAGGGGCTGCCCGCCAATGGCGCGATACCTGGCGACGAGGGCCTCCTCGGTGGCGTCGCGAAAGGCCTGCCAGTGTTGCCGCTCCTCGTCACACTGCAAGAGAACAAAGCCTCCGGTAGATCAACGTGAGAGGACCGTCTTTCTTCTCATACACCCACGTACGCGTGCCAGTAGCACGGGCGACCGCGCTGAGCTCCAAAGCCCCTCCCCAGCTAGCACTGGCCGAAACCTCCTCGACGAATTTCTGCCAGGTGAGATCGCTCGCAGTCCTGCCCAGCGTGTTGTGGGCGCCAAAGACGCAGTTGCCTCCTCCAGGATTTTCGCACAACGTAGCCGCAGGACTCCAATGTTCCGCGTTGGCAGAGCCTTTCACTTCCCCTCCATCCACATTCATCTTGTTTTCATCCTCAGGCCCAGCACGTTTCTGACCCTTGGAGGTTTGCTCTTCTGAAGAGTGAGGCACAGCAGCCGAAGGCCCCGCAGGTGCACGATGCCCTGCGGGGTAAGAAGGGGCCGCAGCAGCACACTTGCGGTGTCTTTGCCCCGTGCGTTCATCCAGCTTGACTGGCATCTCGGCAAAGGTAGTGCTACGCCGCTCAGCAATGGGCGTGGTGCGAACCTTGGCATCAACGTGAGCACCGCGGCGGACGCACTCCTTGAGGATGACAAGGTCGGACTGGACCCCGGCGCCCCAGTCGACATGCTGTTGTAGCATAGATTGTCCGGCTGCCCGAACAGCTTTAAAAGTCCACTCATTGGATTTTCGGCGACCATGTATGGTGATGTCGGAGAACCCCCAGTCGCCGAGCAAGTCGTTGACCTCGTTTAAGCCGTAGTTGAAGGGGATCGCCTTGGCGTGCCACAGGCCCGGGACGGCAACGTAGTAAGGATCCTTACTCCCAATTCGCCGCCCAAGTCCGCGATCCAACACCAATCCCATCGGGGCGTTCTTTGCCGCCTTGCTGTGATACTCCTTGAAGGTCTCGGAGGGCTCCCATTTTTGCCATTGAACCATCACGGTGTCCTTGGCCCAAGCAGCAATGGTGTCGCGGAAGTCCTCGCCAGTCAGGTCCACAAAGAAGACGGTTCCAGCTGCCAGCGACCCACAGCCAAGCCTTCTAGTTAAGCTAGCAAGCTACGACTAAAGCTAAGTGCTCCCAAAACACTGCTGAAGCGAGGTTGTTTCGTTCAAGGGTTGAACTTGTACCCGAACGTCAAGCTGTGCTGGCTGCTGGGCAGCTGGAGGCCCTCTAAGCTCTGGTTAAAATCGCCGGCAAACGTCTTGGAAATCCTATCTGCTGCGATTGACGTCACTGCCACACGTCAAAGTCTGCGGACTGCTGGTTAGTTGAAAGCCCTTTCCAAGCTGTGGTCAAAGTCGTTGCCAAGCGCAAAAATCTGCAAACTGCTGATTTACTGGATGTCCTCCAAGCCTGAGTTGAAGTCGTTGCCAACCTTCACAATTATAGACTGCTGCTTAGTTGGATGCAATCCAAGCTATGGTTGAAGCACTTCCAAATGTCAATCTATGTCGGCTACCGGGTAGTTGTTGGATGTCCTGCAGACTGTGGCTAAAATCGTCCCGAAGGTCAAAGCCTGCTGGTTGCTGTGATCAAACTGGACACCAGACAGGAGAAACTACCGGCTGCTGCAATGCTGGGTAGCTGGATGCACTTCAATCTCTGGTTGAAGTCATTGCCAAATGTCACATCCTACAGAATGCGGGCTGCTGGATAGCTGGATGCCGCAAAAGATCTGTACCGCTTTAACCTCGCCACCACGATGTCATCACCCCATGTGACTACTGAGCAACCCACGGCGATCAGGATACTGCTGCATTGTACCTGGCCAAGAATAACAAGCACTCACACACAGGGCTACAGCAAATCAAGGAAACAAACCCTGCGGACTGTTGGTTAATTGAATGCCCTCCGAGCTATGGTTGGAATCGTTGCGAAACGTCAAAAGCTGCAGACTGCTGGGTAGTTGGATATCCTCCCAGCTGTTGTTGGGGTCGTCGCCGAACATCAAAGCAAACTCTGCGGACTGCTGGCTAGTTGAATGCCCTCCAAGATGTGGTAGACGTCGCTTCCAAACACCAACATCTGCAAACGTCTGCTTAGTTGAATTCCCAACTTGTGTTCGAAGCTGTTGCCAAAGCCGAAAAAATGCAAAATGCTGGTTATTTGGATGCTCTCCTCGCTGCGGGTGAAGCCGTTGCCAAACGCCCAAAATCTGTAACCGCTGCCTAGTTGGACACTCTCCAAGCTGCGGTTGAGCAGTTGCCTACAGCCAAATCTGCAGACCGTTGGTCGGCTGTCATCAGCGTGGTGAGTAACGCCCCAGGCCACGACAGAGCCATCCTGCAAGAATCGCAGCAAACGCAGAAGTAATTGCAAGAGTCTGCTAACAACTACTGCTGATCCCGGATGAAACCGCAACAGATCAAAGCGGAGCCCCATCAAAATCTGAAGGCGTGACTCCAGGTTGAGAGCCTCATGTTGCCTTGCTCCAAGCGAGAAGCCACTGCGTGAAATGCCGCAAAACCAAGAAAGCAGGCATTGGGAAAACTTCCCAGAAGAAGCGCGGAGCTCAGACAAGCCCGGTTCACTGAGTGAGCTGCGGAAGCAAGCGACGCAAGCAAGGCAAGAAAACAGAAGTTTTGCCTAAGATTCGATAGCCAGCCTCTGAGCAAAGCCGTTTCCAAGTCAATGTGAATCTGTGAGAAGTACACACTTACCAAAAAGCGTGGCACTGAAGATAAGATCACATCTCGTCCAACAGCAAGGCGTGGAATAACTCCCGCACTTGAAGCAGATATGACACGCTACATTCTCGAGGCTCGGGTTGTAGCAAGTTCTCAAGCTGGTGCCAACCAAGCGGCACCCTATAAGCAATGATTGAAACTTGACCCGCAATAGAGCCTGCAATTTCGATGATAAAGCCAATGAAGCACAGCAAAGCGCCATATAGTGTGCGTGGGGATTTGATCCTGGTAATGTTCTGTATCGCTCACCCCACAAAGAGCTGTATTGACTGTTGGCGTGGTTGCCTTCCACAAGCTGGATCACCGTTACTTCCACTTCCACACACGCACTCCTATGCAGGCAGATCCAACGTTCGCTCGTTTTGCACACTCACGGCCGGCGGTGGATCGTCTGTGCACGGGATAGCTCTGTCTACTCGGAGGATCACAGAAGATTATAGCACTTTAGCTATGGGCAATGCTTTCTAGAGCTTGTGCTCATTCTTGAGCCAAACGTTGCATGGGCGGTCATACTGAAAGGATGGATAGGCATTGCGGTGTGCGTAGCACTACCACAAGCCTACTCCTAGAGACGAGGGACGCGTGGCGTGCCCCCTTCCCTTGCACTTTACACGGTCTTGCTCACAGCTCTTATAGTGACACCTTAGAACTTGACAAGGCATCGCAGTCCGTTCGCACCCCCCATGAGTTGCGTCTCCGACGCTGCTCACCCGGAAGATGGCACGATAGGAATATCAGAAAATTTGTTCCGCCGCAACTTTGACGCATAGATCAGAGCTTTTGCATCCCAATTAGAAACGTTGTGACACTCATCTACGTCGGTAACGATCCCCTGAAATGGCAAACGAATCAGGCGTCACCGAAGAAAGAAGCATTCGCGATGGAATACCACGTGCGAAGCACAGAGGTCACAAGCTGGAAGATGATGTAGATCATGCGTTGTCTCGCCACCATCTTCGCGTTGACGTAGGATCGCGTTCCCAGGGCCGGAGGTTCTCCTCTGGATACTGGTTCCTCTGCTTTCCTTTGTCCTTGCCTTTGTTTCGGCCTTTGCCGGCGATGTAGTCGTGGTAGGAATTGGTGTTCCAGCCACCATGTTGCTCATCTCCGGTTCTCTCACGTCCTTTTGAAGGTCCCTTTGCCGAGGAAGCGCTTGCACGTTCCTCCGTAGTGACTGGCGTGTCCATGATGGAAGTAC